GGTGATTGCCATCCTGTATTTTTTATTGGCTCATTAGAAGCTGCTTTTCAAGAGGCCTTCTATGTGAAAGCCCGAGATGTAAGTAGATGTAACCTTTTCTGATTAAAAAGTGCATCCCACAGGTTTGCCACTAGGGCTGAGGCAATGCTTAAATGTTTTCTGTTTTTGTTTTTTTCCAAAAACGTGGAACTCTTCACAAATTTGTATGTCATCATTGTGCATGGGCCATGCTAATCTTCTCTGTATAAGTCCCATTTTAGTATATGTGCTGCTGGAGCAAGCACCATTTTCTGTTTTCATTTTGAAATTGGAGACTTCATTTGTTTCTGGTTCATCTACTAACCTAGTTTTCACCAAGATGCCCATTTCACAAGGGACATTAATGTAATAGGGGTACTGCTGACTCTTGCAGAAGGTCTTGTGAAGCACTGAAATAAGGTTTTTTTAAAATGGGAAAAAAGGTGGACATGCTTAAAAGGGACCAGGCTACGTGTTTGTATTATTTTCAGTTATGCAAATGACTAGTTCTTGATAGATTTGTTCTTTAGTCTTTTCCCAAAATGATTATTCTATGTAGTGATATATATCTAACAACAGCAGTATTTTCCCCCAAATGTCACTTTGGGCCCCCCCCCCCCCCCCACCAAAAAAAAAAGGTTTCAAACATAGAAATGAACTTTGTGATCTTGAAGTCTGTAACAAGAAGCCCATAACAAGAATTTAGAAGATAAATTTTGAGGAAGAAGACTCTAATCACTATTTGTATGTTGTCACAACAGTCAAGACATCAGTAATCTGGCTCCTGCCTATCTATGTCGCTTCAGCTCTTCCTATTCCCTGCCTCACACTTAATAAATCTGGCAGTAGTGTGCCATTTGTATTTCCCCATAATCTTACTCTTTCTTCATGCTTCCCCACTGCTAGAAATGCCTTTCATCCTGCTCTTTACCTGGATGACGACTCCTCTTCCTCCGAAACTTACCTTTTCCAGCTCCTCCCCTTCTCTCACATTGGCAGCACCTACCCCTTTAGCACCTCCCAGTGAAAAACCCTCAGCTTATCTCTTATTGTTACACTTAACACAGTGTTTATAATTATCCAGTCTACATATGTCTTCCCAGGAGTTTTGATTTTCTTTTGACAGGAGCTATCCTTTATGTCCCTGTACTTAGTAAAAATTCAGTAAATGTTTAATAAATGAAGGAATAAAGAAAGGGAAGAAGGAAGGAATAGTGTGTACATGGAGTAGAGGGGAAAGCTATTGGAATTAAAGAGGGCAAGAAGTTTGAGAACAGAGTGCAAGGATGCCTCTGAGATTTCCATTTTCTAGATTATGTTAAATTCTGATACAAAGAAAAATTCATTTAAAAATAAATTTTAAAAATCAAATTCCAAGATGATTAATCAAATTAGAGCTATAATGACAGTCTAATGAATTTAGAGTAAGAAACTATTCTTTACCTTAAGAATAGCAGAATAGCTCTTTTAAAAGCTGTTTTAAGCAATTATGTTTCAACTGTTAAATCATTATAAAAATGGCTATTTTTAAAGAAATGCATGTTTATGGTAATATGTTTATGGTGTTCATAAATATAGGTTTATGGCAAATACTGAGCTGGATGTGATGGCTCATGCCTGTAATCCAGCAATTTTGGAAGCCACTGCAAGTGGATCTCTTGAGCTCAGGAGTTCAAGATCAGCCTGGGAAACCTGGTGAAACCCCATCTTTACAAAAAAATCATACAAAAATTAGCCAGGCATGGTGGCACATGCCTCTAGTCCCAGCTATTTGAGGGGCTGAGGCAGGATTGCTTGAGCCCAGGAGGTGGAGGTAGGAGTGAGGCAAGATCATACCGCTGCACTCCAGCCTGGGTAATAGGTGATATTCTTTCTCTGAAGGAAAAAAGAAAATACTGAAAAGCAAAGAGAAAGTATTCTAACACAGATTAACTGTTAACTTTATTATGCTCTTTGCATATTTATTATTGTATGTTTAGATGTATATATATATGGATTTTTAGTATAAAATTTAGTCATGTTATAATCCTGTAATAACAGCTTTTTTTACCTTTTAATATTATATGATCACTTTTTAAATTATAACTTCTTTTATAGTATTTTAATTTTTTATTATAAAAAAGTTTAAATTTTAATACAGAAAAAGTAGAATAGTACAATAAATAGCCAAATCCTCTATACCTACATTTAATAATTAGGAAAATTTTGCTATATTTGTATCTTCCATATACATCTCAAAGTCTTAATGGAGTTTTAAGGCGTAAGGACTTAAAAGGATTAACTGCTACAGATTGACAGAAGAGCAGCATTTGAAATTTATTTATATTTTTATACTTATTTGGATTTGGGATTTTGATGAATATATTTTTATGATAAATTTTTGTTTCAGTTCCTCTCTGATTAAAAATGACAAATGCTGACTGGAACAGAAAATAAATTAAACATTTATTCAAAATTCACAAAAACAAGTATAAAATAAATATAAATAATTAAAACTTCAAATAATTTTTTAATAGTTTATAGCAGATAAGCATTTGAAATTATTGAAACTTAAACTGCACAGAAACATTTAGGGTATCCTGTATAGTCATTAATTTTTGCTTAGCCATTTCAGACTAAATTATAGATGTCATACTTTACCCCTAAAAACTTCAGCATACATTTTCCAAAAATAATGATATTCTCCTACATAATCACAATACCATTTTCACATATAACAAAATTAACAATAATTCCCTAATACTATCTAATATCCAGTGCATGTACAAACTTCACCAGGCATCCCCAGAATTTCTTTTTAGCTGCTTTTTGGAACCACAATCCACTCAAGGATCACAGGTTATATTTGAGTATCAGATATCTTAAATACCTTTTAAGCAAGCACCATCTCTCCCCATTTTTCCCCTGGTATTTGCTTTGTGAAGAAATCAGACCAGATGACTTGTAGATTGTTCCAGATTCTGGATTTGTGTGATTGTTTCCTTGTGATACTATTTTTCTGATTTCCTGAAAAATGGATATTAGGTCTAAAAGCTTTGTTAGATTCAGGTGAAATGCTTTGTAAAAGAATGCTTTTTAAAATACTGCTGAATATTTTATTTTAACAGGATTTTAGTGGTTATGGAGTCTTTCATTGTATGGCCATGTTGTTATAGTTAAACAATCACTTATTAGACATAAATATGTTTGAAAGAATATCTAATTATAGTTTTAAAATAATGTATTTTTCAACTTATTCTTTGATAATAGTGCATTTGGGATATATCTTTCTCTGCTTTCCAGCAGTCGAAGTAACCAGAAAATGTCACAGCCTTTTGTAACTTAAACTGTAGCTCCCAAAATAGGGATAGATATTTTTAAAAACCCATTTCCAAAGCTTCTGTAAGATATACTGTGTATACCTCACACATTTTAGGTTTAATGCAGATAACTTACACTTAAAAATACAGTATGTCATAGACAACTTAACACTTAAAAATACAGTATATCATAGACAACAGAACTTTTACTAAGTGTCTTGTACATTGTAATTG